AATAAATTTTATAAAGGAAAGGAAAAAGAAACAATATTCAAAAGATAAAAATAACTATTAACAAATCTTTATATATATTAGATATTCATCTTTTATCTAGTGATTATCAAATCTTCTCTATGAATTTTTTTTGAGTTAATTAATATTATAATTTTGAGAGAAGAGCATCATATTTATAACCATCAAATTATGCCATTAATACTTACTTTAAACAGTACCTCGATTTAACATTACTTGATTTTCAAGTTGTTGCTCACCATTCAATTATTTCTCTTTTGATAAAAGAGCTGTTAATTTCTTTTTTAAAAGATCATTCCATTTTAAATCCTTTGAGCCAGTATTTCTTCCATATCATTAGTTCTTAATCTTCTTTCAGGTTTACATTAAATTAACTGTATCTAAATAAATATAGACTGTATTACAGTAAATTAATCTAAATAATATCCCTTTCATTCCAATAATAAGCTCTTTCTTCTCTTCTTGCTTATATTTATTTAACTTAGATGAATATCTTATCTTGTTCTACCATTATATGCATTAATTCATATGTTATAACTCTTAATGAAAAATCATCTGCAACAATAAAACAATTCATTCTACACATCACTTTGGATGTCAGTAATATCTCCAGCATTGTTTCTCTCATTTATATGTGCATTTATAGATCAGTCAATCTCATGTATCCATCTTTCTCTGGTGCTAGGTTTAGTTGTTTTAAATCTCTATGTATAATACCATTTATTAAGATATAACCTAAAATATAGATTGCCCCTGTCTTATAATGCATATGACATACTAACAAGGACAGGATGATAAAAATATTCTAAAAAATGTTTTTCAATTAGAACAGAATTTTACACAACTTTTTTAAATACTTTATACGATATCTTTGTATTACTTTTGCTTTCTACTTTTTTTAATATTACCTTACTTTTCGATTGATAACTATGTTCATTAAGTTATGAATTATTGTTGTTGCTTTTATGATAGACTATATTCTCTAATATTATGGTTTTATTTCAGATGGTTATCTATTCATTATAATTTAACTTTATTTTTCTCTATTAGATGATTAATGTGCAGATACCGAACTTCCAACTTTTATAATTCTTCTTGAATTGTATTATCTAATCTTTGGACTTTAATTAAATTTCTAAAGGATACAGATTGCACTTTTTTTAGATTATATTACTTAACCTTATTGATTTACTCACTTTTATCTTTTCTATAATAAAGATTGAATGAAGTGGAACTCTATTTCAATCCATTCTAAGAGTTGCAAAATTGGCTCCGATAAAAGAGATTTAAAATGAATTCCTTTTTCACTATTAAATTCTGCCATCCCATTTGTTAATGTTATATTCTTTGATTGAGATGCTACCATTCAGGATTTTAAAACTTGAATAGAGTGTTAATTGAATTCACTATTGATTTCAAGGAATCTTTAAGTAGGTTACATTCTTCCAACGATATATCGACTCAAATGTAAAGAAGCAAATTTATTTTACTTAGTGTCAAAGAGAAATTTCTTTTCATCTTAATGATCAAAGATATGATTAGAA